CAAGCAGTCTGTCTGAGGTGCTTCCTACTGTCAACTCTGGGTCTACTGATGATGTCAACAATAGCACAATGGTCTCAAGCATTTGTCCAAGCAGTCTGTCTGAGGTGCTTCCTACTTTCGACTCTGGGTCCACTAATGATGCCACCGATAGCACAATGCTCACGAGCACTCGTCCAAGCAGTCTGTCTGCGGTGCTTCCTACTGTCGACTCTGGGTCTACTGATGATGTCACCGATAGCACAATGCTCTTAAGTATTCGTCCAAGCAGTCTGTCTGAAGTGCTTCCTACTGTGGACTCTGAGTCAACTGATGATGCCACCAATAGCGCAATGCTAGCAAGCACTCGTCCAAGCAGTCTGTCTGAGGTGCTTCCTACTGTCACCAATAGCACAATGCTGGCAAGCATTCGTCCAAGAAGTCTGTCTGAGGTGCTTCCTACTGTCGACTCTAGGTCCACTGATAATGTCACCAATAACACAATGCTTGCAAGCATTTGTCCAAGCAGTCTGTCTGAGGTGCTTCCTACTGTCGACTCTGGGTCTACTGATGATGTCACCAATAGCACAATGCTGGCAAGCATTCGTCCAAGCAGTCTGTCTGAGGTGCTTCCTACTGTCGACTCTAGGTCCACTGATAATGTCACCAATAGCACAATGCTCACAAGCATTCGTCCAAGCAGTCTGTCTGAGGTGCTTCCTACTGTCGACTCCGGGTCTACTGATGATGCCACCAATAGCACAATGCTCTTAAGCACTCGTCCAAGCAGTCTGTCTGAGGTGTCTTGTGCCACTGATGTAACCAAATATAGCAAGCATTCCTATTCACATGTTGTCAACAGACGTGCCATGTCGTCCTGATCCTTCAGCTTTTGATATCCTGGAAGATATTTGTGGAGGATATGTGTATGGCAATCAGAAAACCGAATGTCACATAGATATGGAAAGTTTTCATTCTATCATTGATGATCGTCATTTGTTGCAGGAGCCTGTAAAACTGCCCTTCCAAAATAAAGTCATACAAGCTCATGGCAAAACTGTGCAGATGACGACTGACAATTCAGAAAGTGCAACTGAAGAGGACTCATCAGACACTTCAGAGAATAGTTCAGACTATCATGGTTCGGAGTCAGATGAATCTGAATCTGATGAGGAATCAATTGTATTTGACCAGCTAACAGATAATAGCTCACAATTCCAACCACGGCCTTGCAGAGGTAAAGCAGAGCTAGAAGCTAATGGCAAAGTGCAACCGTCTTCTGATTCATCTTCTGATGGAAGTGACTCCTCATTTGATGAAATCCACATCGAGTATTACAAACAGAAGGAGGTAGAGGGTGGTTTGATCCGAGCTTACAACAAATTCAATGCGTGTTTGTTTTGTGAAAAACTTGTAAATGATGGCGGAGTAACTATGGGTGACTTCTTAAAGCCATCTAAGTTTGATGCTGTAATTCAAGCTGTTGAGGATTTGGCAGGACAGGATGAGGGGGAAGGTGGTGATCATGAGCTACAGCGTCCATCGTTTGCCCTCAAAGCAGGATATGATTTGGCCTGGCTTGCTCGGATTAAAAGAGGAAGGGCCATACGATCCCATGACATCACATCTGAAGAGGAAGCTAATAAGTTTCTGCAGCTACATAGATCAGAATGGGGTCTTAAAGTTTCTGCCTCAGCTTGCAATACCCTTAACACTCGCAAAAGCAAGAAACCTGTGAGTTTACCTAAAACCAGTGACCTTCAGAAACTGTCCAAGTATGTTACCAGTGAGGTTAAGAAATGCAATGAAATGTTCACAACTTCTTCTACTGCCAACTACAGCTTTTTAAAGCGGATGCAGAAAGTCACACTTGTACGTCTCTTGTTGTTCAACAAACGACGGCCATTGGAGCTCTCACAGATCACCACTGACACATACATTAATCGACCAGGATGGAACAACTCAAGGGTAGAAGAGCTGTTATGCCAGATGACATCTCTTGAAAAGAAGCTGCTTGAGAGTCACGACCTCTTGAAGATGATTGGAAAACGGGGGCGAACAGTCCCTGTTATTGTTCCTCCAGACTGCAGTAAATCACTAAATGCAATTTCCAAGTTGAGGCATCTTTTCATTCCTCCATCCAACCAGTATATGTTTGCGAGAAACACACCATCCACACACATGCAGGCTGGTCATGTTCTCAAAGAAATTATCTCAGAAGTGTCTCTTGACTCACCACAAGACATCCGCACAACTAAAATGCAGAAATACACTGCAACAGTTGCACAGATTCTAAGCCTACAGCCACACCAATTAGAATGGGTTGCTAGCCATCTTGGCCATAGCGTCAACATACATAAAGACTTCTACAGGGTGCAGGACTCAACAATTGAACTGTGCAAGGTCTCCAAGTTATTGATGGCCATTGATGCTGGTGATGTGGGCCAATGGGCAGGCAAGTCTCTGGATGACATACAAGTTGAAGGTAAATAAATACACATACTTACCAATACTGTAGTGGTACCTTACTTAAGGGAGACTTTCCTATGGACCTTTACATCAGATTCCACCTTTTCTGACCCTTAACCCCAATTTTACACCATCCAACCCCAATATGTTTATGGTATTATTTTTTGGGACCAGGAGTCAGAGTTGTATTCAAGTTCCCTGCAAGACGTTTCACAAATCCACTCACAAGTCTTTCCATAAATGCCATTCACAAGAAACTATTGATGAACAATGACAAATGAATGCTTTTGAAGCGGTTCATTTGAAAAGCTAGTGATAAGACTAAAAGACTTGTGATGGACTTGTAGGGACTTGTGATCCACTTGCAGTGCCTTGAATACAAATCTGAAATCAATGTAGCCTATTTACGGCATTAAAAATCTGCCTCTAAATAGGAGCTGAGACATAAGGGTGACATTGAAATGTCAGCATATTCCATTTTGTCTCCCTAAGGTGCTAGTTATGACCATTAAGTGTCTCCTTATTAAACGGCATTTGTGGTTATAAGAAAGAACAATTAATTCAATATAGGATTAAAAGTTAGGTTGTGGTCATAGTTGCAAGATTCAGACAGATGGGGTGTTGCATGCCATGACAGTAGAGTACAGAGCAGAAGGCACACTTTTCTTGCCAATATGATCACAACCTAGAGGTCTTTATTCTGCAGCAAGACTAAGCCTTTTCACATTTGGTCTGTTTACATTTACTTAATAATGAGAATATTGGCACAATAGATGTGTAGCACTACCAGAAAAACAAGTTTTCTCATCAAAATTTTCAAAATTGTCATAATCGTCTATATTGTCTGTCTGTCTGTCTGTTTGGTTGTTTGTTTGTCTGTCCTTTCTTTGGTGTGTTTGGGGTATTTGTTGTGTGTGGGGTATTTGTTGTTATATTGGGCTTCTAGTTTTTCTTACTGGCTACCCACTTCTTCATTGGATATTGTTTTTGTAAATTATATGCAGATATTGAGATGGAAGCAACTGATGAAATTGATGACGATGGAGATGAAGATGAACAGGAAATGAACCAGGGTAGATTTAACAAATTTTTTACAAACATTAACTTTACTATTCCTGTGCAGCTCATGCAGCTACATTATGGGATATAACTAACTCATGTTGGCTAAAGACATCAAATAAATTGAAACAAGGGTGCATTGCCTGCCTTGATTCATTACCATTATAATTGGAATTGAAATTACATAATGAATTGAGAGAGCCAGTCAGTAGCCGTGTCACGCACACAGCCCTGTTTGACGTCAGTTTCTCGTCCCGAGGTCAAGCACGCATGGCCCAAAAGCGTACGCAAGATTTTACGAGATGTATTCGAGATTACAGAAAAACACAAAAAGTGCCTCAATACATGCACTGTTTGGCCAAGATGGCTAAATAAGTCAAAAAGTGGAAATCGTGTGTTTTATTTTGATAACAAAAATAACTGCTTTTGACAAATATAAAGTGTTGTTATGGCCTGTCAAACAAAATCATATTTTTTATCAACAAAATCGAGGGCCGTTAATTTTTAGGTGTACATTCGATTCTTAAAAAAGGCCAAAACAAATGTCAAGGCTTAGTACATAAAGGCAAGTATACGCTTCATTTTCATGTGAAACACGTGCAGAAGTCTTCTAATGTTTGGTCCAAATTGCCTGTTAAAAAATGAAGACTTTTGCGAGATTTCATGATTCACAATCACATGTACGCATGTAAATGAACGTAAGTAGGCCAACAGCCTGAACAGCACGTGCGAACGTGCAATGAATGACTTATGAATATTAAGCAGGCCATCTCAAGCTCGACTAATCAGTGTGCAGGCGATGCGTATGGGGTCACAAGGTCACACCGTGTTTGGGTTCCTCACTCTATGCTTTACAATGGTGACGATCTTTTCGCGTTGTGAAAAAATGAAAGTTGTTGGAAACATTAGGTGTACATAGAATTCTTTAAATACTAACGACATCACGTTCACGAGATTACTTGTAGATGAAGGTTCACTCTTTCCTTTGATTACTTTGGGAGACTTTCGTCGTTCTAAAAAAAACACCGGAAATTGCATGACCTAATTTTTAGTCGATTTGTCCGTGAAATAATATCGTCAAAATGCATGGAAATCTTTCTTTATAGAAAAAATACCTTGATGAATGTATGTAGTAGGTCTTTAACTACCCCAAAACAACTTTGTTTGTTTGGATCGGTTGTGGTTTGCCAAGAAAATTGCGAATTTTCTGAAGCCCCTTTTTACGGCCATCATTCGCTGGCCTCGCGTTGCTATCAATTGTGTAGACAAGAAAATAGAGCAGCTACGAGTGACACGCTACTGACTGGAGCTTTGAAAGATGACATAAAAATTACCTGTTACCTTCCTGTTTTCTTTGTGGAAAATTCTACGGATAACTGTTCAATGAATGTTTATAAATTCCATGCAAAATCATTTTGTTGAAATTTAATTTTCAATAAAAGTCTTCTTCTTTTTTTCTAGTCTCACTTCAAACCTGTTTCAACAAGTCATCATCACAGCCAGAGAACCAAGCCCTTCATGTGCACCTAGGTGTACTCCAAGAAGAGGTAGGTTGATATTTGCCCCCCCCCCCAACTCATTAAATTTACACCACTATGACTTCGCGCCTCTTTTTCTTTTCTTTTTTCTTCTTTTTTTTTTCTTCCTTCCTATTTTTTTTTTGGTTGCTTTTCCAGGGGGGGGGGGCAAGCGCCCCCCCCTCCTTGCCCCCCTGTGCAACGCCCATGCCTAAGTGAAATTAAATTGAATTGTTACTAAAGCAACTATAAACATTTCAGTTTAACTTACTACTTTCTTGATACATGTACATGATATCAGGCCCATTGATAGTAGGCTGCTTATGTCGTGCCCGGCAATATCTTCCTCCAGCAGTTATGCTCTACTTGTATAAGTCCACAATGTGTGCTGTCATGGAATACTGTTGTCATATTTGGGCTGGTGCTCCAGCTTGTCATTTGTCCCTGCTTGAAAAAAATTTAAAGACGTATTGCAAATCTAGTAGGACGTGACCTAGCTTCTTCCCTGGAACCTCTCAGTCGTTCTGTAGCTTCTTTGAGCTCTTAACATATGTTAATTTGGCAGGTGCTCCAGTGGACTTCCACTGGTTGTTCCACCTAAACATACATTTTGCTGCTCCACATGTTTATCTGCCCATTCTCATCCTTACACTGTTTTCCCCAAAGCGAATACTAGGAGATACTCATCCAGTTTTTCCCCTCACTTCTTGCATCCTGCTTTCAATCCACTTACGATCTGTCTCAATTAAAACGCAACATCAATAGTCGTCTTTCTACTTTTTCATTTTCCTCTTTGATTATTCCCATTCTTCCTTTTTAGTCGTCACCTTGAGTGGCCCGTCTTGGGCCTTGTGATTGGCTATCCCAAAAAAATTTCAAGAAGAGGAACCATGCATCCAGAATGTGTGATCCACCTTAGCTGGGGAAACTCAGTCCTGCATTCTTGTGGTCTTGGGTTGAATGGTCAGTCTGTCTACATCCCAACCACTGCAAGATGTAGCTGTATTACATTAAACAATATAATGTGTAACACACAGGCAAGGAACAGGGCCTGCATCCTTAACATTTGTTTAGAAACATATTTTTTTTGTGTATTCTTTAGTCGAAACTGAAACCAGATCCAGCTCACGTGAGATGCCATCCGAGTTAGCTGAAGGATCAAGACCTCTTCGTGTATCAGGAAAGGGTGGGTTCCATGATATTGTTTGCAAAACACATGTTTCTGATAAAAAAAGATTGATCTGTGAAAACTCTTTAAAAATTTAAAACGACCTGCATACAGGGCGGTTCCACAAAAAAAAGGAAACCCAATTGTAATTTATATAATATCTAATGAACATTTCCAAATAAATTATAGACCAAATGAAAGATCCATGTCTCCTCTTTCCAGTGATACCCTGATTGTGTGTCTGTGACCATGGATGACTGAGCAGTCACTGTTATTCTGTCAAGGGTCAAAACCTGCACTGGGCCAAGTTGTTGCAAACTGGCAATTGGTATTCAGGGCATGTGAACCGGCTTTTTTTAACGAAAGAAGACAACATTTTCTTGACAACAAATTATTCAATGTTGACACTGTGATTAAACCACTCTCATTGTTGAAGTTAACTCCTTTTGAACCAATGTCTTTAATGTCACTTCCACCTCTACTTTCCACACAAAGCTTTGAATGTTGTCCCATTTCGCCCACTGCCATTTCAGCCGTTGCATAACAAACCAGCCAGTCATCCATGGTCACAGACACTTGTCTATAATTTATGAGGAAAAAGTTATTTGATTTTGTACATATTCATTTACTTTTGGGTTTCCTATTTTTATACACACCCCGTATATGTTTTAATTAATCATGTTAACATGTTGAATTTAACCCAATCAATTTTGATTTAACACTTCTGAGTGATTATAAAGTGCTGTCATTGACATAACTCTGTAAGAGTTGAGTTTGATTTGAGAAGTTGTATTTACATATAACTGTAGTGATTGTAGTTTTTTATTTAAATAGGATTTATTATGGGAAATGCACCATTTCCACGTCTGAAACTGAGCCTTTCTCCCACCTTTCTAAAAAGGTGACATTATATAATTTAGCCCAGACAATAGTGTTGCCATGGGCAATACGTGTAATGTAAATATTTAATTTATGCACTGATGGTGTAATTTATAACATCTTTCTTTTTATTATCATGATTGCATTTGAAAAAGACTTCTACATTTGTAATATAGGATGGTTGCTAAAATTGACTGCGTACATGTACATTGTACATTTATCATGTGGAATAATTTGTTTATAAAAATATTTATGTTTATTTACAAATATTTCTATTTAGGAGACAAATTTCCTTGGTCCAAACAAGAGACATCCTGCATCTGGGCACAAATGAGAGAACTCATCTTGAAAGAAAAGGTACCAGGGAAGAAGGAATGTCAAGCTTGTATCACAGCTTCAGTTCCCATATTGGACAAAAGAACCTGGCAGTGCGTAAGTATAAGGTCTATAATATAATAAACGCGGTCAGGAGAAAAAGCACAAGATAAAGGCTACTGCAGTACAAAGTACTACAGTGCTTTGTATTGGTACTGTGTGTTAAGTACCACACGAAACAGTAACGTACATGTAGCTTGAAGAGGGCTCTAAAGTCTTTTATTTTTTTTTCTGCACTTTTTTTTCCAATAGTCAAAGAATCCTCAAGGGAGTAATCATGGCAGTGGGAAAACCTCCATTAAAATGTTGTCAAAAGTCTTTTTAGTTGATGCTCCTTTTGTATGAAACCTGAGCGTGACGACACTTGTACAAACAAAAAGTAGGCCTGTATATTTAATACAGCGTGTGTCCCAGAAAGCCTGCAGCTTTTTTGACGAGGCTCTAGCATCGGTGCGGAAAAAGTACCACTATTATTTTTATACCATTTTAAGGCTTGGAACCTGAACTTTATCGCCGCTGAGTATTGCCTTGATGTTTAAAATAGTTTTCAAATAAGTTGTGTTCAAAATGTAAAGGCATGTGGAAAAAAAAATCAACAGATTTCACGGACTATTTAAGTCAAGATTTTATTAAAGAATCTTAAATCTACCTCACTTTGATTGATAGTCATGCACACGCAGACATGAACTGAGAATTCCTTTCAAAAAATGTACAGACCTACCGGTATATAGTTGTTAATATGACAAATTTTTTTTTCAATTTTAATGGAAGGGTATCAAAATAAAATGATATTTTTTACCATTAAATATTAGGCAAGAGACTTGTGATCTGTTTTCAACTTTCATAAGGACTCTGGCTATTAGAAAGTGTGTGTAGGAAAAAAATATTGAATTTGACCTGAGAGCCTCTTCTTAATAACCCATGAAATACATGTACATGCACCACATTTTCCTGCATAATCTTTAAAGTATTTGTGTTTCAATTAAACAACAGTGATTGGGTATTATCGATCGTTGGAGTTGAAAGTAATAATCGATTGTTGGAGTTGAAAGTAATTAATGTTAAAGTTGATGTTTGAGAATGTTTTTGATGAAAAACTGGGGGATTTGCAAATCAAACCAATGTATTGTAATTAATGGATTTTTAACCAAAACATTCTATCAAGGGAGAGCCTATTTTCATAAAAAAGACAAACATTCACTTTCAGTCACATTATATTCACATTAAATTCTAATAATTTCAAGCTGAAAGGTTGGAGTAATTTTTTTTATGTTGATTTTGTCCTCAAGTTGTAGGGCGGCAAAGTTATGAAGCTTCAGTTGATATATGTTGTTTTTTTTCAAAGGAATTTTCTTACTAATTGTATGTTTTCGAATAATGCTTGTTTATGAAAATCACTTGACCCCAACTCATTGTTAGTCACCACTCTCGACAAATGCATTAAGGTAGAGTACTGCCATTGGTGACTGGTGGAAATACAACTCTCAACTTTCAATGTAATTGTGAAATATGCAAATCAAAGGTTTATCGCCATCAAGGAAAGTATCAGGACTATTCGAGTGCTCATGCTAAAAATTTAATAACAGTTATTGGGCTTTGTCGATTGTTAGAGTGGTTATTGTAATAGTTGATGTTTGAGAACGTTTTTGACAAAAAAAACTTGGATGGTTTGCAATCAAACAAATGTATTGTAATAATATGGATTTTTCATCAAAACATTCTTTATATGGAGAGCCTGTTTTCAGGGGAGGAAATAAGACAAACAATAACTTCTATGAATTCAGTCACATTATATTCACAGTAAATTCTAATAATTTCAAATGGATAGGTTGGAGTAATTTTTTCTTATGTTGATTTTGTCCTCAAGTGGTAGGGCAGCAAAGTTATGGAGCTTCAGTTGATATATGTGTGTTTTTTATCAAAGGAATTTTTTACTAATTGTATGTTTTCGAATAATGCTTGTTTATGAAAATCACTTGACCCCAACTCATTGTTAGTCACCACTCTCGACAAATGCATTAAAGGTAGAGTACTGCCTTTGGTGACTGGTGGAAATACATCTCTCAACTGTCAATGTAATTGTGAAATGCAAATCAAAGGTTTATCGCCATATCAGGACTATTTGAGCGTACCGGTAGAGTACAGTCATTAGTTGCTGGTGTAAAATGTGATGTGAAATGCGAATCAAAGTTTTATTGTCATCCAGTAAAGTACCAGGACTATTTGAGTGTTCATGTTTAAATTTAATAAAAGTTATTGGGTTTCGATTGTTAAAGTGGTTATTGTAATAGTTGATGTTTGAGAACATTTTTGACAAAAAACTCTGGGGTTTCGATTAAAAATATTTTATCCAGGGAGAATCTATTTGAAAACAAATCACATACGGTACATAAAGTCAGTCATTATAATATATATTCACAGCAAAATTTCAACAATTCCAAAAAGTGGAAGTGATTTTTGTCTGTTGAATGGTCGATTTTACAGACTTGTATGTACTTTTCTGTAAGTTGAAGGGCGGCAAAGTGTTATTTGCAGCATTTTACCTCAAGACACAGTCTTTTCTCTAGTACGTGAGTTAAGGCCCCTGGAAAATTCTGCTTCAAAATGACATATTTTGGGGGGATCTTTATGTACATTTGTGTAGTGTCTGCATGTAGTCAAGGGTAAAAGGTAGTTATGTATGGGTTTTGATGGGTTTTTTTTGGTTTTATTTTGGAGGGGGATAAAAACAATTTTTCCTGACAAAAATAATGTCCGGGTCTTCAAAAAAGGGTACATAGGTAACATAAGCCGATGTTGTTTTTGGAAAAAATGTTGCAACCTGCACTTCAGCAGTTGTGTACAAGTCTATAATCAAAGAAAACTGTCCAAATATTTCCTTAAAAAAATTGGAAAGTCCCGGATTCATGTCTTATCATCATTTTTTTGCAATAACTGACCTTCATTGAGATGATATATGAAGAAAAATTGGCGTCAGGCTGCAACATATTATTTCCTTGTTTTTTTTGGGGGGGGGGTCCTAAATATAACATGTATACGGCATTATATTTCAGGAGCCGGATTTTAAGTAATGAGGCAAGTAGTTGTATTGTTTTGCACAGAAGATGTGATCTTTGGAGACTGGACCCAATATTATGTGATTATCGCAAACGAAAATGTTTTTTTTTTTTTTTAGGATTTGTAAGGATTTGAAATCGGGACAGGTCACAACTGCTCTTGCTGT